ACCATCACCTCCCCGGTCCAAAGCCACCATAACCTGTAGTCTGGACTGCTATAGGGGTCTTCCTTGGCCTCAGCAACCCGTCTCCAAACGGCATCTACTCTTTCTCTCTTTTTTTCTTTCTTTCTTTGGTACCGGGAATCAAACTCAGGACCTCGCGTTTGTCAGGCAGGCATTGCACCACTGAGATAACACTCTTGACATTGAGAGGTAGCTACTATTGTCAATCTGTTTTGCAGAAGAGGAAACCGAGGCTTAGAAGCAGGTAGTAGTTACCTAAGGCCTTACATGAAGTGGCAGGGTTGGGATTTGAGCCTGGACTTGCCTATTTGGATTTGGAGCCAATGATTTCAAACCATTGCATCAAATATGTCTCCCTGAGGACCAGCTCATGCTGCTGGGACTTCACAGTGGATGCCCACATATGAAGAGCATGTTCGCTCCTGGGGAGGAAATGTGGACTTACCTGGATGTCACAGAAGGCCCAGTAGCATTTCTTTCCTTTTTTTTTCTCATTAAACTTTGTTTTCATGGGTTTCAAAATTCTGTGACAGATTCTTGGTCAAGTTGTTTCCATTAAAAAACGTTGATTTTAAAAACGAAGAACTTAAAACTTCTACACACAGAAAAACAAATGGTTCACAAGACATTCTCCTTTCCTTCTGAAGGTTTTCCGATGCATTGTTATCATTAACCAGTCTTTCACTATTAAACTTAAATGGCCAGTTGGGAGTAACAGTTCTGAAAACAGTCTTCTGTCACTGATTAAGGCGGTGGCAGGTGTTAGGAGTAATATTCATTTAGCCATTTGAGCTTTCTCGGCAGAGCTGGAGACCTTGCCAGCTCCAGCACCCTTCTACTTTGCTGCTTTGATGATGCAACCACAGCAACTGTTGTCTCATATTGCAAACAATGAAATGACCCAGAGGTGAGTAGTCAGAGAAGCTCTCAACACACATGGGCTTGCCTGAAACCATGTTAACAATGGTAACATCACCAGATTTCTTTTTTCTTTTTTGGGGGTGTGGGGGGCAGGGTCTCAATATGCAGTTCAGGCTGGACTTGAACTCACCTTGTAGCCCAGGCTGGTTTCATATTCACAGAAATCCTCCTGCCTCAGCCTCCCGAGTGCTGGAATTATAGGCATGCACCACTACACCCAGTCTAGCATCACCAGCTTTCAAGAATTTAGGGACATTTTCCAACTTCTTAACAGATTGGCAATCAGTCTCTTCTTTCAGCTCAGCAAACTTGCAAGCAATATGAGCTGTGTGACAACCCAGTACAGGGGCATAGCCAGCAATGATCTGGTTTGGATGGTTCAGGATAACACCTGAGCAGTGAAACCAGCTGCTTCCATTGGTGGGTCATTTTTTTTTTAAATAAAAGGAGGAAAACATTAACAGACAGACAACATTTTACAACATAGCAAAAGAACAGTACAGACAATATGGAGTTACAAACAAAGTGGTAGGGAATTAACAATGGTTGTTGTATTACATATTGATATTTTCAAAGTGGCTTCTCTTGAAAACAGATATAGAAATGCAATACAGATCAACCAAAGACTCACTGACAGTTTCTTTCAGCATAGAAATAGAAGACAGAAGAACAACCATATTAACTATCCTGTATATACATACATACGAAATTGGTGGGTCATTTTTGCGGGCGCCGGCAACATTGTCACGATGAACATGAACACAACAGACACATTCTTGATGTTGATGCCCACACTGTCCCCAGGAAGAGCTTCACTCAAAGCTTCATGGTGCATTTCAACAGACTTTAGTTGTCACACTGATGGAGTGAAGGTGACCACCACGCCAGGTTTGAGAACACTGGTCTTCTCTTGGCCCACAGGGATGGTACCAATACCATCAATTTTGTAGACATCTCGGATGGGCAGCCACAAAGGCTCGTCAGATGAGTGTGTGGAAGGATGCAATCCAAAGCTTCAAGCAGCCTTTCCGAGTAAACTTCCATCCCTTGAACCAAGGTATATTAGCACTTGGCTCCAGCATGTTGTCACCATTGCATCTAGAAACTGGCACAAAAGCTACCGTGTCAGGGTTGTAGCCCGTTTTCTTAATGTAGATGCTGACTTCCTTAACAATTTCCTTGTATCTCTTCCAGGTGTAGGGTGACTCCATGGAATCCATTTTGTGAACACCAACAAACAGCTGCTGAGTTTTCCAACAGTGCCCAGGAGAACTTGAAGGACTTTTCCTCATCTCAGCAGCCTCCTTCTCAAATTTTCCAATGGTTCTTTTGTGGATGCCACCACATTTGCAGATCACATGGCTAGGAGTGGTGGACTTGCCCGGATCCATGTGTCTGGTGACAATGATGTCAATATGAGTCTCTTCCTTTCCCGTGCTGGCTCTGATTTACTGGTAGTTTTTGCTACACCTGTGCTCTCATGGCAAACCTGTTGCAAAATAGCCCAGTAGTGTTTGGAAGGCTATAGCCTCAGGACATCTGGTCGTCTCATCCAACCCCATGGTGTACAGTGGGGACATGTCACCAGGAAGTGTTCTTTGTGCTGCCCACGGTTGCTTTGCTTTCTTACTTTCTTCTCTTCTTCTCCCAGCTGGTTCCCCCACATTTCTATGCTCGGCTCTCATTCACCTGAAACCACTCCTTGCTTGACTCATTAGTGTCGCTCTGATATTCTACTTCCTTTCCACCAGCCACCTGTGTTCCCCAGGCTGACAGTCATGTAAGCTGCTTGTGAGTAGGAATATATAGGTAAGGTCTTTACTTTTAGGATGATCAGGGCTAGAACACCTCTATGTATCAGAATGAGGAAGGTGTCTGTGTGTGTGTATGTAAAGGTCAGGCATTCATCTCCTTACCTCGAAGAGACTTCAAGAACAATTGAACACACCTGTGAAAAGTCTGACTGGCTTTGAACCAGGAGTTTCTGGCAAGCTTTATATTACATGCCAGGTAGGGATTTGACTTTGTATATATAGACCTTCAATTCGGTTTTCAGGTTGATATCTCAACCTTGAACTCCTAAGATGGACAGAAGAAAAAGACAACAACATCTCAATCCAGCTCGTCACTGTCATAGCCCTGTGCTTTCTGTTTTTATATGCTTCCTGTCATTGAGGGCTTGGAACCGTGGGTCTCTGACTATGATCCTTGTGCCTGCTAAGGACTTTGAAACTTCCTGCTGCCTTGGATGCACTCTCTGATATTGTTCTGGGTACTGTGTCAGTCTAGTCCCGCCCTCCCTGCACCCACACATCTACCCTGGCCTCCAAGCAGGTGCAGCTGGCTGCATTGTTTCTGTTAGTGATGGTCAACTTCAGGCTGTGAGCGCCTGGAGGGAAGAGTTTGATCACGTTTCACTTACTCATGTTTAAGCTTCAATAGCAAGGAAGACAGAGAGGAATTCCTGGAACAAGGAGCAGGGAGTCACAGGTCTGGGAAGGACTGAAGTGGGAAGCCCTGGGCCGTGTGGGACGGTAAGGCTGGCAGCTGTGTGGGGTGGAGCCTGAAGATGCCCTCGCCTGCCTTGAGCCTGCCTGGGCGTAGTGGTGACTGATGGGTCATTGTACATGTTAAGGGGCTTTTGGTGCAAATAAAGGAAACCAAGGCCTGCTAACTCTGGCTAGCATAAAAGAAAGGGAGAGACCCAGGGGCATGGCTGGCTGGCTGCAGAAATGAAATGCGGGAGACACACAAATAGGGTATTATTCACTCTTCAAACGGATGTCTTTCGGACACATGCTACAGCTATTGAGCCTTGAAAATGCATGTTAAGTGAAATAAGTATCTGCCAGTTAAAAAATGGCAAATACTATGATTCTCTTTATATGAAGAGTCTAGCAGAGTCACATTCCTAGGAATAGAAAGTGGAAGGTGGTTACCAGGTACTGGTAAGGGGAGCGTAGGGGTTAGTACTTAATGGGTACAGAGTTCCGTTGTGGCAGGAGGAGGGAGCCCAGGAGACGGATAATGGGGATGTTTGTGTTACTGGAGGTTCAGGTCCATATTGGAATCAAAAACAGAATTTTGGTGCAACGAAAAAGGCTTATTCAAAGCCAGCTCTGAAGCCAGTAGGGAGGCCTGTTTGTTGCCTCCGATCTCTGTCTTCCCCCGACTTCAGGTGTGCAAGGGCTTTTATGAGGGGTGGGGGCGGGAACGCAAGGAGACAATGGACAAGGAAACTCCCAACTTGTTTTGTCTCCAGTGCTCTCAGGTCCTCTCCTCCCATTTAGAAATGGAACCAGACCTCAACCTCCTGGGGCTAGCATCTGTGCATTCTTTTCAGATGAATATCCTGTTTTTCCAACAGACACTGGACCTTTCTGAAAGTTCATTCATCTGATCAGGGTGTGTGTGCACTCTGTGTGTGTGTGTGTGTGTGTGTGTGTGTACATGTGCGTGCGTGCGTGCCAGTTTATGGTCTCAGCATGAGGAAGCTGGAGAAACAGTTTATCTCTTTAAAAAATCCTAATATTTAAAAATCTCTGTTAATTTTGAGACAAGATCTTGATAAATTGCTTCAGCTGGGATCAAACTTGTTGTCCTCCTGCATCAGGCATCCAGAGTTCTGGTATTATAGCTGTGTACCATCACACCCAGCTAAAAATTATGTTTTTAAAGAAAAGATAATGAAAAAGAAATAGACCTGGGAAAGGGATAAGATGGATAGGAAAAACCAAGAGTTCTATGGAGTTTTCAGTGGATCAAGATTTAGAGGGTGGGGCCGGGGATTTAGCTCAGGGGCACAGCACCTGCCTGGCAAGTGCAAGGTTGTGAGTTTGATTCCCAGTACCAGAAAACAAACAAACAAACAAAAAAAGATTTAGAGGGTGGAAATGGTCTGGCTGTTGGAAAATGGGATACTGTATTTAGAAAAGCTGGTGTATTGGACTGAGGTAAGCAATTGAAAGCAGAGAGGGGAAAAAAGATGTTTGTCTGTTTTGAGCGTGTGTTTCTTCCCAGATTCCTTCACTTGGAAATTTCCTCCTAAGAGTGAAACAACATTCAAAATGTTTTTCCTTTATTTTTGATCATTGGTTTATTTCCCCGACTATGACTGCTCATGTTCTTTTTTTTTTTTTTTTTTAATACCGGGCATTGAACTCAGGACCTTGTACTTGCCAGGCAGGCACTTATGCCACTGAGCTATATAGCCCTGGCACTCATGTTCTTCTTATAGGCTTATTCCTTCCTCCACCAAACCTGAGCTTCCGTGGAGGCCTGATCATCACGGGGAGCTGGGGAGCTAGAGCCGGCCCTTCTCTTTTCTGGTCACTGAAGCCAAGTTCTTGGGAGGCAACAAAGGTATGGTGGGATCATTGATGTAATCTTGGACCCATTTGTCATTGGGGTTGGCACAGACTTCTCGGTTCTTTTTGGTGACAAAGCTGTGGAGGCAGAGTTACACTGTCATGAGCTACAGAGTGGGATGGGGACCCTGTTCACAACCTCCTCCAGCTTATCTTGCTCATATTCTTTGTAGTCTCCTTTGGGCCCCTGTGTGGGTTCCCTCAGAGCTCTGTGGGCTTTAGGCCTCACTATTTCTTCTCTCAGGCTCTTTCCCACTCAGCCTAGACCCTCAGGCTTGGGTTGAATAATGACCACTATTTATTGGCCCATACAGGCATAGGTAGCAAAATGAGAGATTAAACCCAGACTTCAACACCCAAGCCCCTAGCCACTACTCCATTAGTTCTAGCACAGGGACTTCTTGGTCCTCTACATCCCATTCCTGCCTCCATATTCCTCTCCTGTTCACACAGAAATACCTGCAGGGAAGTGCTTACATGATTGCTGGCAGGGCACAGTTGAGGGCCTCTCTGTATCCCACCACCAGTTTCTTTGGCAAGGATTTTCCATTATGCTTCAGGCAGCAGGTGGGTGCGGGGTTCACCGACTCAGGAATTTCTGAAAGAATCACATTGCAAGTTGAGCTGGGAAGGCAGAGGAAGAGACCATGGCCACCCACCTCCATCTCCTACATCTGATAGCAAAGCTCCTGTGAGCAGGGACGGATGAGAGCTCACTAGGTAATAGGGAAGGTGACAAAGATGAACCCCTCTTGGAGACAGACATGGGGGACATTCAGCCTCTGAACTGAGGCTGGGGAGGAGGGCGAGAAGGTAAAGCTATGAGTGAGAGGAGCTGGAGCAGGAGGAAAAAGTGGAGATTTAGGCTTTGGAGTCAGTTTGGGTCAGAATTTTGACGCAGTTTCCTCATCCACTAAATAGGAGTAAAAAGATACTCATGTCTTATAATAGGAATGTGGTGGAACAAATGAGAAGGTTCTTAACTCAGAGACTGGCACACAGAAAGACTCAATCAGACCACATTATCATTGAGAATAAATGGAAGTAGTGACTACTCTTCTTGCCTTGGAAGTGGCTCTTTTCCTTCTTTGTGACATTTGCAGGATGCTGGACTAGGTCATCACTCTTGAGTTCCCCTGGCTACTCATGAGGCAGGGACGATACACAGTACCTAAATCTGCGGAATGAAGATCCTTTTGTATCTGGGTCCTGTGCCTCCAGCTTGTGACAAGTCTGGGACATCTCTAGAGCTCCAGCTCCTGATTCATGCTTTGGGTGGTCCATTTTCCCTTCCTTGCAGTCTGAGCCCACTACCCTGGCTGAACTGATCTTCCCAAAGGGCACTGCTGCCCTTCCCTCCTACCAGACATATACAGTTCCTCTGTAAGTGACTCTGGTACAGTCCCCTTAGAACTGATGTTCATAGCCCTGGTTCTCAAGCAAAGTTTACCAAGACCACGGTCATCCTGAGAATGTGCAGACAGATTACACAGATTACATGGTGGACTTGACCTTTGTTCCCCTGTGTGTTTATACAGATGGAACTACACCAGGCCATGCTTGGGGTAGCCTTAAGAGAGACTAAAAAAGGGCAGGGGTAGCCGAAGGTGGGTACATAGGAGGGCTGAGTATCTTTATGTCTTTTCTGTAACCAAGTCTTCATAAATGTTGGTAGAGGCAGGGGATCAGGAGGGGGCAAAACAAACCATATTCTCCGTAGATAACAATTTCCCTGCTTCCCATAGCTCCAAAACCCCTCTTCTCTTTTCTGTAGACTTTATTTGGTCTTAGGTGAGGTATGGAGAAGGGCGCCATAGATTCTCCCCAACATACACGTACCCTTCCCACTGGGACTCATATTGGTTGTACATAGTTGTACAATCCATACCAGCCGCTGTGAAGAAGGGATATCTAGATTCAGACTCCTCATTCCTCAGCTCAGTTCCAAGTAATTGCTTCCACTTGCCTTACCCTCCCCTTCCTTCCAGACACTTATTGTGGAATTCTCTGCTACTTCTGTTGCTCCCCTTACTAAATGATCATTCTTCAGGACCCGTAGCATATGCCTTGCTTCAGCTTCTTGGAACTGCCCACCCCCAGGAGGTTCTAGCCAAAGCCCAGCTCTACAGGTAAAGGGGAGGAATAGAAGACAGCGGCTGGGCCTGAAGGTGGGGAGAGGCTCTGGAGCTCAGGCAGCCAGAGACCTGACCGCATTCTTGGCATCACCTCTCTGCCAGCTGCCCATCTCCTTTCTCATCCCTGCCTTACAGGAACAAGTGGACTCACTTGGCTGGCTACGAAAAGCAGAAGTCATGGTGAGGACGAGGAGGCAGAGAAAAAGGGCAGCCACAGACACCTTCATCCTCTCAGTGGGGCAGTGCAGCTTTGGCGGAGAGCTGAGTGGAGGTGTCTACCTTGCTGCCGGTCACCCACACTCCAATGGCTCAGCTCTCTGGACTCTGACCACTTCAGAGTTGAGGGAGGAGGACAAAGATTGGGCCTCTGTATTGGCTGAAAGAGAGGGTGGGGGAGGCTAGGGTTGGTGCTGGCTTGAGTCTGGTAGGATTTGAATTCATGCGAGGAGATGGATGAAGGACTATGCTGCAAGGGTGTGCTATCAGCCACTGTTGTGCCCTACCTTACTAATCCTCACCATAGTAAAGTAGTGATTGTCACTCCATGGGCCACTGACACTTAGAGAGGTAAGTAAATTGTTCAAGATGAGATGCAGTACTGAGAGCCGGAGGCATGTGCTTGCACCATTTTACCTCCCCCTATCCTGGTGCTGGGGAAGAAGGGAAGGATTGAATGCCTCAGTTTCCTCCTGGTGATTGGTCTTGGGGCAAGTGGGCATAAAACAGGCTTAGAGAGAGCACAGACTGAGGCACAGGCAGGGTTTAGTGGCCTCTGAGAAGGATGTCCCCCAACCCCAGTCCATGGACAAATGATTGAACTCACTGTTTTATGACACAGATCATGCTACTGATGTTTCAATAAAACAGTGCAGCTGATTTGTTGTTGAGGCACTTGGTTTGTCACTATTCTTATTTATCTCTTTGGACTTTGAACTGCGGGTCGATTTTTAGGTGATCTCTCCTGGAGGCCAGAAGTACAGGTTCACCTAGCCCTGAGGCTCTGGCCAATATTGACCTGCAGAGGGCATCCAGCAGTGGACCTGATAACCAGCATATGGAGTCCAGAGTTCACCTTGTGTCTATTTGGCTCTCTGGCTGCACTGTCCCACGGCATCTTTTCTCTTGGGATCTCCCTCAGGACCTGGTTCGAGATTGGAGGCAGCAGTAAGGGAAGTGTGAGAAAATACAGAGGAGTTTGCTGCGAACAGACTATGAGCTTTGCAGCGCAGGGGAAGTGTTACAGGAGTTGAGAGAAAAGGGAGGCGGGGACAGAATAGGGAACATGTGGAAACTTCGGGAATTTGCTGCTTGGCTTGACTGCTCATATACAGCTAACACATGATGCAACTAGTCCTGGAGGGTTTAAGACGGTTAGTGGTAGTGAAGCTGTGGTTTTCTGTTAGGCTAGGGAGGGTGTGTATGTCGGGTATCCCCTTAACCTCTGTTTACTGAAGATTCAGAGATCTGAGGACGCCTTGTTGTGCCTTTGGCATGCAGGGCCCCTCTCAGCCTTGCCATGGCCCCAAACCCTTGCCTGTGAGAGGCTGGAGGCCAGAGAAGACTGGCCATGATTCCTACAGTGGCCATTACTCTTACGCCAAGTAAACCAACTTCTGCTTGAACCCTGGAAATAAGTTTGAGAGCCTGTTCTTGGAGCACAGACTTCCTCTCAATTCCTGCCTTCTTCCTCCTTCCCTCCCTCTTTTCCTTTCTTCCTTTGCACCTGGTACCTGTCAGGCTTTCTGCTCGACCTCATGGCTGATACAAATAAGGCAATATAATACAAACTGGTATACGTAAATTGGGGGAAAAGGATGAGATAAATGTGTGCATGAACCATTCCTATCCCAGATAGCAGTGAAGAAAGTCCTTGGGAACAACACACACACTCACACATGAATCTGAAATCTGACTGGTGGAAAGAGGCCTTCACAAATATTTACCTCTAAAATCAGTTGATAAATTCTAGCTTTATACTCGTTGTGAAGCTTAGATAAAGTGGTACAAACAGACTGCCTTGCAGAGTGCTTGGAATGTGAAGGGCACTGACATGATACGCGTTGTTAGTGTTGGTGGGGAGGGAACTTTTATTCTAAATGTCTTCCGTACATACTGCTTACTTTCCTACTACCTCTATCACAGGCCTGACCTTTTTTTTTCCCCACCAGGACCTGGTAAAACTTCTGCACATTGAGGCTTCATGCTGAGGGTATCACCTATAGGCTGGGCTCATCCGTATTTTCTGTCTACTACAGTGGGTAAATTCAGTAGAAATGAACGAGGGCAGGGAAGGATATGAATGGTGTTTAATTCAAGATAGGGCAGCTTGGTGGGGAGTGGCGCTGGGCTGAGGGGGGGGGAGGGGCCCTTGGGCTCTTCTCTTCTCTGTAGGTCGCCAGGCTGTGCCTTTCTCCAGTGCTTCTAGATCCCTCAGTTCTCCTCCAGGTCCTTCAGGTAGTCCTGGACCCACTCACTTTTGGGGTTAGCACAGATGGGATGGCCCTTTTTGGTGATGAAGCTGTGGAAGTAGAAGGGGAAGGATTACGTATTGAGGGGACCAGCAGCCAGAAAGAAAGCCTGGCTGCCCTCCCACATTCCCCACTTCCTTCCCCTCGACCTTTTGTCAGAGGCAGCTCAGGGCCAGGCTCCTCTCAGAGACGTGTTCTTTACCCCTCAGGGTCCTAAGTCTGTGTCTCCACCAGGAAGGATCCTCATGCCTTCTCCTCCCATCCCCACTGCTTCCCTAACCCATGGGGCCAGCTTCCAGGTGACTCTGCAGGCTTCAGCCAGAGAGTCCCTAGGCTACCACTCAGCTGCCTGTCCAGTGGACACACCTGGAGGTGCCTGAGGTCCCTTTCCATGTCCTCCCTGCTGCTTCTCCCCAGGACCAGCTGGTCCCTGTCCCTCAGTGTGGTGTGTGGTGCCACCTACATAACTCCAGGGTAGGGACACTCGCCACTGGTCTCATAGTAATCCGTGATTCGATGACGTGGGACAGCATGGGTAATGTAGGAGAAGCAGCATTCCAGCGGGTGGAAATGACCTCCTGAGGAAAAAATGTGGGGGACACTGAGATGGGGCCCCTCTTTAAAGGCCATATTGCCAGCTTCTTCTGCAATCCAAGAGTACTGTGGAGAGAGAAAGAGGCAGGAGGAGACAGCCTCACAGAAGTTAGGGAGACGGCTTTGGAGGAACTCAGTCTTCTTCTCCCTCGCTGCAGTATTCTAGCTCCTCTTTCCTTCCTTCTTCATCATCAGCCTCTCTTTTCCTTTCCCTCAATCTCTCCTGGAAAAATGGGCTGATGACTTTCAACTCCAGGGCTGAAAAGCATCAAACCTAGGGCTACTCAGCAAGCACAACTTTCCCTGGGGCACAGATTCACAGAGAGGCCTAGTGACTTGACTGAGGTCATTCAACCTGCCTGCTATTCATGGGAGCATTTATAAGAAATGTGGACAGAGATGGATAGGTGCATATCTGGGAACCAGACCCAGATCCACCCAGTCTCTCATCCTGTTCCCACTGAACCCATGCCCTGCAGAAAGGGAAAGATGTTGACACCAAGCCTTGAGACCAATGGCCATAGAGTCAGGACACCCAAATTCTAACCCAGTTTCACCTTTACATTCTTTCTACTGGTCCCTGTCAGTTTCTTCCACTGTAAGTAAGGCCTTGGGGTATGTCTGTGTTTGCTCCTCCTTCTTTTTTTAAAAAATTTATTTAAAAAAGTAAAAGAAGGGTAGCATAGTAATAGGGAGATTTACTGAATTACAGACAAAGTGGTAGGACATTATCAGTGGTTGTTGTTTTACCTATTGGTATCTTCAAGATAGTTTCTCCAGAAAACAATTAGACAAATAATAGTGAGTTACAGACAAAAATGGTAGGAAATCATCAGTGGTTGTTGTACTATACTTTGGCTTCTTCAAAGTGGTTTCTAGGGTCCTCCTTTTCTTTGCTATGCGAGGTGGCCTTGTTGGGGACTGCATGGACACACAGTGCCCTGGGCCCAGCACACATGTAAAGCCAGCCTGGCTGTCCCAACCTGGCCTCTGTAGCCACACTCAGAAGTGAAGGCCAATATAGCAGCTTCCTGGCACCACAGCCACCACATGAACCTGCAGCACTCAAGCGCATTGAACAGGATGGTCACACTCTGGGGCCCGCACTTGCCTCTCCACGGGAAAGCCACCAGAACCGGCATCCCCCAGGCTGGCACAATGCCGCCCGGCTTCCTGTAGGGCAAGGGAAGGGCAGCCCACAAAGACCTTGACAGCCCACAGTGGCCTTGAGGGAGAGGCCCAGGCAGGCTGTGGGGCCTTACCTTGACAGAAAGAGTGGAGTGCTAGATAGCAAGGTGGCCCAGACTGTGTCTGACACGCTATGGACTGTGGCTTTAACACTGAACTTCCTGAGCTCTTGATGGTGTGGGGACTGTCTTGGAAGCGCCCCTGCGTTTGAGAGTAGTGTCTTGAGGATTGTACTCTCTCCAGACCTTTTTCCTGTTTTACTTACTGGCTTGTGTGGGAGATTTCTTGAAGAAAAAAATTTCATGGATTAGGTGATCTTTCAGCTATTTTCTAACTGTGAAACGTCATAGCTCTTACCCGGGATAACAAGGGGCGACAGCGATGTCACCTGAATATGGAATTGTGGTTGTGGTGGGATGTATGTGGCAGGCCAGTGATTCTTTATAAACAAGCATGTGCCGTAGGTTCACCATGACTGCCCTGGAATGTCCATCACTGGATATAGAGAAGTCAAGCTGGCTACTGATTACCAAAACCACAGATCTGTGCATGTTATGTGATTAAACTGGATGGAAAGGTGAGTGTGCATTGTGCTGACCTGAGGTCACTGAGGGTGGACAAATGCGTGGGTGGAAGGAAAAAGGCCTGACCCCTGATATCCAGCACCATTCCAGCTAGTATCCTCAGTATCCAGCGAATGGACAAAAGGATCCCTTGGTCCCAAACCCACTCAGGGATCTGATTCTCACCCAGCACTCAGCTGACAAACAACTTTTCAGAGAAGCAAATCAGATTGTCTAAAGCCCTGCTAATTTTAGACTAGCTTTATTTCAACAATAATGTATATTTCCTTGAATTTCTACAAAGGAAATGAGATAATACGGATGATTGTCTATAAAGGCAGCTTATTCTAAAAAAAAAAAGAGGACCAAAGGTCATTCAGGCAGACACTGTACTGGTGTGTCTCTCTTCCTCACATCCAAGCTACTTCTGATTTTTCAGCTATTTCCTGATATGAAATGCCATAACTCTTACAGGGGATACCAGGGGTGACAGTGCTGTCACCCAAATCTGGTACTATGGATGAAGTGGGACGCTTGAGGTCTAGCACACGGCTAGCTGATGCTGGAGGCAGCTGGGCTCAAGGCTCAGGAAGCCAGTAGATAAAATGGCTTTGTGGGCTCCTCATATCCCTGGGGATAATATCCCCTAATGAAGGCATCACAGTCTTGCTTGATGGCAAAAAGAGGAGTTGAGGGACTTGAGAGGCAGGCTGGCCTCACTACATGGCCTTGAGGGGACAGATGAGGATGAAGCCAGTATGAGAAGAGGCAGAACTCCTGCTAGAGGTCCCCTCACCTCCCAGCCACCTTACTCCTGCTTCTTTTTCCCGTAGGGACTAGGATGAAAAGAAGACAAGGCGTTTCACTTACGTGAGGAGGATTCAGTGCTGGTCCCTCGGGTGATGGTGATGAGGAAGAGGAGGAAGGAGATGGTGGCCATGGAGACCTTCATCCTCTGGAGGTGCTGCAGAAGGAGAGCTGGCTTGCTGGAAGCTTCTGAGGCTCCTGGAGTGAGGAAGTGTTGAGAAATGATCATTGAGGCAAGATAATAAGGGAACTAAGATTTTGAAAGGAAGCAGAAGAGCAGCGGATGCCTCCACAGTTTCATATCCTTTACGCTTATAGAGGGTGGTAGGAAGGAAGCAGGGAGAGCCAAGATTGAATGGATGAAATTGCCTCCCTCCCCAGTGGGAAGGACTCTGGATATAAGCCTTTCCATAAGCATAGGCCTCATTCGCTGGGGCTGGCCCACTGTCGTAGGCTTAGCCAAGGATCTCAAGGCTGGGATGTGTCCTATGCCTGATTCTAGTTCCAGGCCTCAGAGCAAGGCTGTGTGGGGGGATTTTTTTTTTTATTTTAAAGATAAAAGGAGGGAAACATTAACAGACATACAGCATT